CTGGCAGAAATATCTGTGAGAACTGGAGGGTACCAATGTTGAACATCCAGATCCAGACTGGACTATTAAACAAATAAATGCACTCTTCAGCTTAGGGATTATCTAAAGTAAAAACTGGGAAAGTAACCTTTTGTTCTTACCTCTTTTCCCTTTCCTCATATAATACCCACGTGGTTTTTTTGGTGGTTTCTGGTTTAAGCTAGAGATACAAGTATCATCATACTCAGATGCCTCCAAATGCTAGTTTTCACCTAACATATTATGAAAACCTGACTCTGGATTTTGCATACACTCATATCAATTCTGAAGAGATTATATCCAGAATGATGCAGTTTCATGTGCTAGTAACCCACAAGGATCAAGAACACAGAAAGCTGCTAAAATTTTCTTCAGTTCCTCCAAACAGTAATGCTAAAGTAGCAATCAGAAAATACCTCAAAAACAAACTCCTTAAAATCTCTACACTAAAGACTAAAATATTCTAGTTTCAGCAACGCTTTTGTGCTGAATCATGCTGAAGATCTACAAATGAGGGCTTCCTCATCTGTCAGACTTAGGTACAAGAGATATCTATACTGAATAGAAAGTCTCACTTAATCAGTGTTTTCCAGAAGAACTCAAAGTTTACAATAGTCCCCAACTGCGGGCAGAAAGTAGGAGTAATCATGACTAATAACATTGAAAGTTACTGACAAAAAAAATAAGTGAATGCAAGGCACTGAAATCAAGGGAAGAATAAAATTAATGTAGGGTATACTCCCTCTGCAGAAAAACACTTCTCTTAGTAACTCACTTCCAGTCTGTTTTCAAAGCAGCAGCAAAAAGATGCAAGATGTCATAGCCTCATCCATGAGGAAGTAGTTACACTAGTTTTATACAGCTTTGTTTCCATATTCTTCCTTAGGTATTTCCTTCTTTTTGGAATGAACTTTGGCTGACACTTACACTTGCATGTAAGGATCAACTCGGACTCGGGCATAATCTACACCTCGCCCTGTCTGCCCACACCACTAGAGGCACCAGGTCATTTGTGCTGACACACAGGAACCAAGAGCAGCAGTGCCACTGCCAGTAAGACCAGATTTATGTTCTGGGCATCCTCTTATGCTCCCCTACTGTTCCTTGGAGTCCAGCCCAGTGACAGATTTGTTTCATCTGTGACAGCTGCAGAGGTCTCATCCTACTTATTCTTTCCCTCTCAAGTTTCAAATCAGCCTTCCTACTGCAGGAGGCTAGCAGCCTGTGCTGCAGCAGAACACAGGAAAGGAAGAGCCAGTGTTTTGAGGCAACGTTCACACAATTGCTTCCTGAAGATGAGGCTCACATCAAGCCTTGGATCTGCCCTTGTATTTTTACAGGTACAAACTTGTTATGTACTTGTGCAACTCCTTAACCATCTTCTTCCCTAACCAGATAAAAGTCTGCATAACTTACAATATACAAAAGCCCAGGTATTAGTAATTTCTGAGCCAGAGGCACAGGGATGCAGACTGCATCTGCAGAGTACATGAGCAGCTCCATTTGTTTCTCCCAGACACCAGAGTTACCCTGGAAATAGGCTACTCACTACACAGCATTTACATTGTGGATGCATTAACTCACTTGAAATAAACCCTCAGTCCCTTGAAAAACATACAGCAACCAACATTCCTGAGTTATTTCACTTACTGAACATCTGTTTGTATTTACCTGGAAGGAGCAACGCCTACCAAATTAGGACCCAGCCCTCTAAAAAGAGAGCGAGGACCTTCCTTTTCCAAGATCATCCTAGAAAACAAAAAAGGGACAGTACTTTAACATTCACATCAGGAAAGCACTAACCACCATCATGACTTCATCATTTTAAGTTTTACTCCTTGTGAACGTATAGGTTAATACCTTGTGGTCAGCACTACATTGTCAAAGACTAATGACTTCCTAGAAACTCCACAAAATAAAATTTAATAACTACATTCATCGACATGCAATAAAATTCAGGAACTAAAGGCAGAAAAAACCTTATGCTGTTAACACGGACTTTCCTCAAGGATCAAATACCAGGTTATCTGTCAGAGTGTTAAAGAAAGTGTCCTTTCATTAGAGAGGGCTCTTGCCTCCTCATGCAAGGGGGCTCACTGCAAAGGAGTTGGGCCTGGCTGAAAAGGGACTCTACCCATGCAAAAATCACTTTGTCAGATCAGTGCCCTAACATCTTGTGGGACCAAGTCACTATAAACATAGCTATGGAGAGAATCTTTTGGCAGGCAAGGGTGTCACTTTTTTTAAACAGATGGATGCAAACAGTGAGTTGAGATTTAAGTGAGGAACTACTCATGTGCTTGGAATAGTGTCATATTAACTGTGACTTTTATAAAAAGATGAAGCTGTATACCAGTATGTACCAAGACATCTTGGTACAATAAGGTTTCACTAGAACTGGACCTTAACAGATATCTTCTATCTGTCCTACAGCCTAGATGCTAATCAGGTATGGTATAAAATAATAAGTGGGACATAGGAGGAAGAAAAAGGACTGTCTGCACCTCTATCATTGCAAATTGCTAAACAGATCCAGAATTTAAGCTAACTCTTAACTACTCCACTAGATGTTGCAATATAAGACTCAGTGCTTATTGATCTAGAAATATCATCCAATATACACAAATATTTTTCAGATTATCTTTCTTGTTCAAAGAGACATGCAGGTTAATGACAACTCAATTACACAATAACAAACTTTGATGTTGTATAAACAGCTGTGTCAGTTGAGTACATTCTCGCAGAACAGCTGAAAGCTATTTATAGCACTGAAGGAGATTCCAAACCTATTCTGATTTCCAGTGACTGAAAGCATCTACTCCACTACAGTTCTGCTGCCTCATCACCCCAAAAGTTAAAGATGTTTACTTCTAAGCTAAATAAGATGCTGGTTCTGTACGGCTACATTGATTGAAATAGTCACCATCACTGGTTAGGAATGCTGGCATATTACATGTCCAGTAACACCTTAGCTTCACATCCATAAGAATTAGATATGATTTCACTTTGTGGATAGAATTGCTCCCCAGCAATAACTAGAGGATTAAACACACATGTTAAAAGCCATTTGGAAATATCTATTACTTAGTTTTAACAGGCTTATCACCCTGAAAGTATTTCTGAAACTTACTGCAGGAACTATTCCAAAAACCTGAGATTCCACAGGGCTCTGCACAGACCCACCACCCGATTACAGCAAAGCTGAACCCAGTCAGCATCAGCAGGGACTCGATTAACTTGAAATAGTTGGCATAACCAATCCGGCAACCTTCCCCTGTGGGAATGTTTTAATCAAGAACAGAGCTCCTATAGCCAGTCCTTCAGTACCTTTTTCATTTTTATAGGCTTTTCACACAACAGCTATGAAGAGAAAAGGGTTTTTTCTCCTTTTAAACTAGAAAAGGAAAATTGGCTTTGGACTCCGGGTCAGAAGTGAAAACTCAAATGAGTTGCCATTTAATAGCTTAAGTTCTGAGCTTTTTCTTTCTTTCTTAAAGCCAGTGGAAGTTTTAATTAAGTGAGTAAATCTGCTTTAAAATAGACATCCCTAAAAAACAAGCAGAAGCAGAGTTTCAGTAGTTAGCATACTCAAACTGTAACAGATTTTGATCCACTGAAACATTACAAGCCTTTTCCCATGACGTACGGTGGGTGATACTTTTGACGGTATTCAATATTATGAGTGTTTGGCGATCCACGGCAAACAGTTCCCACAGAAATGGTAACAGCAAGTTGAGTTACATCAGTTTTTCATGGGTACGATAATAAAGAGGCCATATTCCACACAAATAGTGTGTGGGCAGAACAGGTCAGAGGTACATAGAAACAGCTTGTCAGAACTGGGTTGGAAACTTATTTCTGGTTGTTTAACAGGCTTTGGTTTAAACAGAATTGGGACATGAGGCATCCCAGTAAGTTTTGAAACACCTCTCAGGCAACCGGGTTTTAAGAGCGAACATACTTTCATATTATTTGGAGTCAGTATTTGTGATGTCACTCAGCACAGGCCTTAGTGGAGAAGTATACATCTTAGGCCCAGTTTAGGATTAACTCAGAACAAATCAGTTTTACCAGCCATTTAACAACAAGACACAAAAAAATTCAGCATTTGTCAACTAAGTGATCTGGCAAAAAGCAATGAAAAGATGGCCATACTGCATCTGTGTAGAATCCCATTTACTGCTTTAAGGTCTTCAGAGATTTAGACAGCAATCTCAAATAAGACCATATCTCATCAGCAATTACCAGAAGACCGACAAGAGAATTTTTGGCAAGAGATCTGGCAGAATTCTACGCCATTATTCCGCAACTGTTATCAGTAACAGTACTGTTGAAAGCTCTACCCCCTACCCATGGAAGGAATAAGAGCTCTTTTCGCCATAAGGCACCCCTACCAGAGAATGGCAAGTAAAGTCCTGGGCCACACAGAGGAAGTGAGGATTTCTAATGCATATAGTCTGTTCTGCAAGCCTTCCGTTAGGCACAACATAAAGACAAAATCCAAAAAGTTTTAAAATGGACCAACATAAATATGTAGTAATTTCTCTGGACAGTCATGTTTTCTTTCTCCCTTCATCTCAAATGGTATTTCAAAAAATTGAGTTTCCTGCATGAATCAGGAAAGCTTCTCCGGAGACCGTTATAAGAATTCTAGATAATGGACAAAGACTGCTGTGAATGCAGTTTTTCTACCAACTTAACTTCAGATAGAGGTGTGGTTTTTCTTCTGAAATGTCATCAACAAAACTTCTGCTATAGAAACACCTTTATATTAAATTGTGTCCACACAAAAGGAGGACTACTTTGACACCACTACCTTCACAATTAAGTGTTACACAGATGTACAAATGCATATATAGTATGTGCATGCATACAAGGCAAAGGAAGTATCAGTGTCTTAGACTTAGAGCAAAGTGTATCAGGTCTGTTCCCCCACCCCCAAGACTACATAGTGACTATTGAAAGCAATCAAAAGTAAGGGAAATTCAGCTGTGATTCTTTAACAGCAGGCAGACAGGATTATAGGTGTGGTAGTTACTGATACTCTGTTCACAGACACCAGTTAGAAGAGTGTCAGAGTTTACACTGAAAAAAGAACATGAACTCTTTGCATTGAAAAGCAGATCTTAAGTGTCTGCACTGTTTACTGCAAGAGGTAAATAGCAAGTCCATGGTTGGAAGAGCAGCATGAATGTTCCATGTGGCTCCACCTGACCTGCCTGTGTCACACGGGGGAGTCTCTACTGCAAGGCCAGTCAGATTTCCATTATCCAAGACCGCTGATTTAAGTTTAGCAAGGTCAAATATGGGAGGCAGCAGCAATACAAAACACCTAACAGGTCATTAAGAATAAGAGAATTCATTTCTACTGCCAGAGGCTGCAGTTATCTGTACTAGCTCTTCTGAGATTGCTTCCTGACACAGATGCCTTTGAGGTCACCTCTGTTGACACTTAAGTCGGGCCAAGAGTGATTCCGCAGCGCTTAAATGAAGTTCTGACATCATTTGCCTGAGTGTCCCTGCTTTTAGGCTTTTCGTATTGTGAGCTCATTCCTGAGGTCTGCAGCAACACTGTTCCCTGCAATTAATTTGGTATGAGAAAAGAAAACTAAACCATGACACCTGTGATCCAAAAAGTAGCAAGTGACAGCAAGGGCATGACAGAGTGACAGGGAGATCTAGCTTGATTTCTTCATTAAACCCACCAATAATAGCAATCCTATCCTTTTAACCAGAGAAAAAAATATCTCCTATACCTAAATATTTTTACTCATGACAGTTCACTGTCATGTAATTTGACATTTTTCATATTTACTGTATTCAAACAGCTTGAGAAGCCCTCAAAAGTTACTTGGCCTCTCAGTTATTTGCTTCTGAAACAGCATAAAACATCTAAGCAAGAACACAAAACCAGGGGAGGGGATGGGGAACAGGCCTACAAATGAAGTTCACCAACAGACCTCTACTTCAGTCAGAAATTGCTTCCTGAGAAGGCACATAGAAAAGCACATTTTTTCTTTTCTTGTCCCTAAAATGTAAAATAAGCAGGGACTTCTACAGCCCCACGAAGCATCTTTCTACCCTGCTATTTGTTCAGATGTATTTCTAAATAGTGGATTAAAAAAATACAAAACTCAGGGAAGAAGCTGAATGGTTCAGCTTCAATCAAGAGAAGCTAAGACAACAGCCAGTATTTTCAATGGAGCTCTCCTTCCCTCTCACGATCTGAGCCCCTTCCCATCCCACACCTCTTTCCACCATGTTCACGTACACTCTTACCTGTTTGAAGGCTCTGAATCAAAACTTCGAGAATGAAACCTACCCCTTCCATCCAAGAAGCTATTTAGGTACAAACTTCTGGCTCTCTACAAACTTCCTCTTCTCACTGAAGAACTAGGGATAGCTGAGCCCTGGCCTGGTCTTACCAAAGTCCCTGTACTCCAAGGGGCAGCAGCTGGTCCTTCCCAAAGGAAAACTCTTCCCATCCTCAAACACTGAAGGTGCCTTTCCATATCTGGCTAGCTTGAGATCCCCCAGAGAAGAAAAGAGTACAGACCACAGGCAGGGTTCACTACTAGCAGTGCAACTGCAGCCACACATCTCTCCAGCTGGCCACTGGAAATAAGCAGTGTTGGGAAGGGGAAGAAAGTCAGCCCCCGTTCAGTGAGGTGCCACAGAGACAGAATGTCCCAGGCCACAGCAGAATCTGGCCTTGCCCGTCTCTTACTGGCTCAGGAAAGCATTAGCAATGTCCACCAGAAATACCAACAGGCAAGAAGGGTGCAGGTGGTGATAGATGAGGGAGAGACTAAGCAGTGAGTGAATTTTCATAACATTTCTTACCTCCAAATTCAGCTACATCTAGGACACAAACCAGTGGGAAGAGTCTTACACTACCATTTCTTCAGGAGGAAAACAGTCTGGCATGTAAATGTTATATGGCTTTCAGTGAGTTTTAGGGACATACTTTGGAACCATGACGTCTATGGACTATGCATGCTCTGGCTAATTCCAGGTACAAATTCAAGCATGAAGGACATATGAAAAAACTGGGACACACAGTTTAATTAGTTTTAAAGGGAAAATATGGAAAGTAATTTCATTGTAGCATCATGAAAACATGAGTCTGAAACTCCCATATGGATTTTGTTTAACTCCTCCCTCCCAAACCTAATAATGCGTGGACTTACTTCAAACAATGGAGAGGTCCAGGAGAAACTCTAGTTACCCGATTGACGGTAGCACCATTTACAGTGTTGAGATGGACTTCAGAGATGTAGAGAGTCACAGAGGAGGACTGCAACCTTGTTTTCACAACTTCTAGTGGACATGTCAGAATTGCACCAACAGTACCTCCACATCTGCCAAGAGAAGAAAAACCCACCACATTCTAAGCTGCAAAGAAATCAAAGAATACTATTGGCATACTATTAATTTTATTACTCAACCTAGTCAAATGGCAAAAGGTGAAGCAGCAACTGGAACAGACGTGACAATGCTGTAGTTATCTGTCCTCAAATGAGAGCTATTTGTTAAGTCAGTTTGTCTTTGTTGGTCCCAAAACAGAGTGAAAATTTAAACAGACAGAAAGTTTCCCAATGCAGTGAAGATGCACATACTGTTCAAATCAGTTCTGGAAGGCAGCTCAGTAGCTCAAATGTTTAACTCCTTATGGTAAAATTTAACTTTTGCATGTCTAACGTGCTCCTGACCACAAGGGAGATGCCAAAAATCCTTAAGGGTAGAACAGATTTATGCACTATGCACACAGGGCTACACACATCAGTCCTTGGAAAGCTGGTAAAGACAGTGAGGCAAAGTGATTTAATAAAACACTCATGAAGACATCTCCAGCTATTTTCAAAACCTTTCTATTTTGGGCACGGTGCCATGAAAGCAATGATTTTCTGCATATTTCCTGGGTTCTGCCCATTGCAGAAAAAAATTAGTTACAAGTACACAACAGGAGTTGAATCCAGGGAGACAGACCTTTTTAAATGGCTAACCAGGTGAGGACTTGCAGATTTTGCTACAGTCTGCCACTCATTTCTGTAAGCAAGCAGTGCATGATTTGTGCTGACAGTGGAGCTGTTCTCATTCTGCTGGAGTAGAGTACAGCCAAGAACACACTGCCTTTTAGCAGTTTTGCTCAGAGGGTTGTTCAGGTGCACGTTCAAAACCTATTTACCAGTCTATAGTATGTGTTGAACTAGGATCACAAAAGGCCTCTGACAGAAAAATACCCAATCCACCAGTTCCAATTCAAAAGACAACCCCAAATTTTCTCCAGTATTACCATTCCCCACCCCTCCCTCCCAAAAGAAATGCTCTTCCTGAGCCTTTTCCAAGATCAATATTCTGCCTTGCCACTTTGCCAAATACTATCTGTGTCCAGAATACTATATGTACCAGTTGCTCCTTCCTTTCTCCCCCACCAACATTTAAATTAGGCCATTAATTAATGCTATTAACAACACAGCCTGAAATCAAACAGCCACACAAATACAATTCCTACTAAATTCAAAGGGCCTGTGTCCACTTCTCTGAAGCAAGAGAGCTTGTGTTTGACACTGACAATCAGTGAGATTAATTATCAGCTATTTTGTTGAAACAGAAGAGACTCAAACTCCAGGAACTTGAAAAAGTTGTCAGATTTGCTCAATAGCACTTTGAGTTTCTTAAATAAAGTCTCCTAAAACGCAAAGGAGAGTTCCGTGCACATATGGGAAATAACAGGTAGGACTTGAGAACAGTCCTACAGACTTTCATGCAAAAGTAGCTCTTAAGAGTCCAAGTGTAGTTCTTTTCTACCACAAAGAAGAGCAAAGTTACAATGGCAGTTGTTAGCACAGCACTGCATTCTACTGTGAACTAATCTGTGTTTGAATGAACTGAGCTCACAGTACCAAATTGCTGCAGAAAACGGCAATACTTGATCATGTTCACTTACACTCCATTTCATTAGTGACCTACAGGTGTTCTATTATTTGTGCCTAGAGACATCCCATCTCACCCTTAATTCCAACATTAGACTGAAGTTTAGTCTCTTCCAAGTTTTAGGTGAGGAAAGAATACAAGTTTTTCAGTCTGGGAAAGAAAAAAAGAAGTCACTGGAAGATAGAAGACAGTCACCCAGTGTATGCAGTACATATACAGTGATACACAATGATATAGTGAATAGACAGCTTTTAGAGTAGCATGCTGAAGAGACCTCTCAATGAGCAATTCAATTGCCTATTCTTTTAATATTAAGCTACAGAAAGTTTTAAAAACAGGAGTTGCAGGAAAGAGACTAGGTGTGCTAACACTTTGTTCAGCCACTTTTGGAAGCAATAAGAACCCATAGCATGTTAGAGTACATGACATCAAACACTACGAAAGCTAAGGAGAGGGCAGGCCTCAAGACTGTTTAACATGGAAATTTAGACACTGAAGTACTTCAGATAGATATCAAGTACCATGTTTTCATACACGTAACCTGCAATTCAACAGCAGCCAAGACCGTACGGTAATGTGCATGTGCAGAAAATAATGCAAGTTGGCATTTGTCTTTATTTTCCTTCTTGCAACCCCTCCGCTTCTGATCACCCGTATTCTGCTCCCTCTAAGATCTTCTAGAATATAATCTTGGGCAGGTTATCTGAGAAAATTGCTTTCAAGCAGCAGTAGCAGCAGCAAGAGAATGCAAGTTATTCAAGTTATGGTTTATATTCATGAGAAGATGATAAATATGATGGATATGGAAAGAAAGGAGAAAACTCAGTACCCATCCCGTAACAGTGTTTGCAGTTTTGTGCATTTATTGCCCCAGGCTCCATGGCTACGCTGCACTGGAAAACTTGCCCAGAGTTGAAGGTTAACACTGAGCTGCAGCTTGTATCCTGCCCTCCCCCCTGTACCAAACCCAAGTCACTGCAAGGGATGCCTGACCACGATGGCACTTCTGTCAGACATTCACTGCGGCCGGACTAGAAATATTCCACTCAACTAGGGAATACCTGGATTATTAGAGAAGGGCAGACACACAACCATCCAACACTGCTTCTTCTGCAAGTCTGCGTATAGACAATAATGCTCCATGATAATCAACTGACATAACAGCAGCTTGGACTACATCATTTCTGCATACACCAGGAAAGAAGCAGCAGACCACCCGCTTCCCTTTAAGAACTGGATACCCTTTACCTGTGCCATGTTCTGCCATCCACGTCATGATTTCAAATAAACAATATTTGGCACAACTAATTCCTGATGTGCCCCCACCCCTCCCAAACAATTTAAGATGTCTCGACCTAACTGGAGAGTATCTTGCATATTTTCACTAGCTACTGCTAGTTTAAAGGAAAATTGGGAGGGAAGAGGGTTTTAAAGATCTCAAATTGCCACTCATTAAGAACATCTCAGCTCTTTATACAAGTGCTGTGTGGTTCCTTAACACTTGCAAGTAAATCTTTGCAAAATCCCAAATCTCTTCTTCCACCAAAATGGAATACCTTTTTCACCCAGGCCCCAGAAGTCCCACACAATAGATAAAGGATTTCGAGTTTAAGGAGTAAACAGTGAGTCTCCAAATGCCGAAGAACCAGACCTTGCTGAGGTCTGGTTAAGTCACAAGATCCACTTAGTTTGAACGGAAGCACTGAGTGAAAGCATAGTCTAGAAACAGCACTGAATATGTGATTCATTTGAACTTTAAATCCATTCCACCATATTGGACAAAAACATCAGTTCATGATACAGCAGAGACTGTTTATCTGCAAACTCTGTTTACTGACAGAGACAATTCAGTAACTCTGCAATCTGTACAAAAACCACAACTTTTATTTAGGCATTCCAGCTGTTCTGCCACCAGTACCAATGACAGAGTATTTTACTTAGCAATACATGTGTATTTCCCACCTTGCTTATTTAACAGATGACCACTACTAGAAATATTGTGAAAGAGACAGTCACTTCTTTGTGTTGGAAGTCCTGGCATGCCATTAATAGACAGCCACCAGTTTCAGTTCAGCAAAAATATGTTCTATAAACTGCAGCAGACAGCTACTACCATTCCTGCTTCCCTCCTCACAGGCTTAAGTTTGGGACCTCTTTTTTAGTTTGTGGCTCAACACAAATTAGGGAGTATCATAGCTTAGAAAAACATTTCAAGTTGTTAAAAAATAATTAGACTTATTTTCTCCTGAATACAACAGGTGAGATTTTGAAAGTTACTACCTAAAAATACTTTGGGCTTCAGTATCTCCAGTTATGCGCTAGGCCACATCAACCATGACTCGTCAAAACACTAAGAGGTAAATTTCTTCTCCGGGATAAGATGAGTTTCTCCTGGTACAGTAAATAAACAAATACACTCATGCTGACAGAGCATAAACTGGAAGCAAAGAAGGGTAGAACTGGGGCGCTCCTGTCAACAGATAAATAGTAGACAAGAGTTATCTGGAAACTACAGATAGCACCACGAGACAGGTCACAGCGCTAACTTCCGAAGCAAGGCAAGGCATCCTGCTAACGCAGGACACAGACCCAGCCCTCTATTCCAAACTGAGCCCCTTCCCCCCTAGAAGGGTTTAACAGTTAATCATTGCTACTGAACACACTTAAACACCAGTTTTGTCTTACCTATCTCAGCCCAAGAGCATGATGTTTCATGACAGCATGTCTTAAGTTTGATGTACGCCTTTATTGATGTATACACCATCAGCCTTTTCAGCTTTGCCAAGTGCCTTTAAGAAAAACTTAAAACTTCAAATCTTGCATCAGAAACACCTGATCATACAACAGGCTGAAGAAGAGACATCTATAAGAAAAAGCCCACAAAAAAACAAAAGGGAGGGTGGGGAGATTAAGGACCACTATTAACCACTCCATTAGGCACACCAGAGCATTAAGCCTGCAAATTAAACTGCAAGAGTAGACACAAGAGACAGCTATGCACTCAGTGAAACAGACATGTGTACTTCCCCTAGCCTGCAGGGGTGAGGCAAACTTACAACAAGCCAATAGTAAAATTAAGATCAATTGTCCCTATTTGACACGAGATCTCTTGAACCGAAGAATCTAGGAAGACAGTGACGCAAGCCTCTTCTGAGCTGCAGCTTATTCCAAGAGCAGCAATGCAAAACAGACACATAATTTGACCTCTAATGGACATTAGAGGTCCATCTCCTCACTTGATTAACAAAGATAAGCCTGCATGCATTTATGTTTTTAACTCTGCTAACACTTACACTGAGAGTATCAGTGTAGAGAACTGTTTTCCCCAAATAAACCTGCATTATTCATGAGGCTACACAAGAAGAGACAAATATGCTTCAAAATCCAATCCTGTTTGGCATTCAAGTCTCAGGTTCTATTTCCAGAGATGGCTACACAAGAAAGCCTTCTTTCATTATCACAAACTGAGGATACCTGCTAAGGAATTATTGGCCTTGTCTACACTTGTTAAATATCTTTCACTGTTACACTAGACCCCTGCAGCAGCAGCAGCGATAACTCCAGTGCGGAAGGGCGCTTCAACATTTCAGCCAGTGGACTGCCTACATATGCTCCTAAAGCAGATGAACGTCCCCAGCGCTGGCAGTGTCAACTGACCTAGAACGGTAACTACACCAGTGCAAGAATCACCAGTGTTTACACAAAGATAAAAAGAAGAGAGCCTAGAGATTCACCTCTCGCAGTGTTTGTAACCACAGCCTCAAAGCCTTGTCAAAGATAACCCTTGACCCTGTTATCTTGGGTCTACATTCATTCATGCCTTTTCTCCAACTGCTTCTCTTCCCTGTAGGAAAAGGAAAGTTCCATGCAAACACTGGCTTGCAAGAGAAACAGCTAGAAAACTCTGTCAAAAGAAACAAAAACAAGCCACTTGCAAATAAAACACCTAATCTCTTAACCACTTACTGCAAATTCAGGCCCCAATTCCATCACTTCATAGACCTGCCTTACAGCACAAGAGTAACTGTTTTTTATGTCAAAAAGCAAGTCACAGGTTTGGATATTTAAAGTTGATAGTATCCCTCTTTTAGAGTACAAGTACAAATTTCAGAAATAAGCAAGAATGTATCTCCTTAATGCAGAACTTGCATGTTTTTCCTGTTACTATACTGCTAAATTTGCACATTATACACTTCAATCTTTAGTTTTAACATGACGGCTATGAGCACCGGCAGCTAGAAAAGCTTAATCCCCTTATGATTAACTGACTAGGCTTTTTTTGGTGAAGCTTAAAAAGTGTAAGTTTTGAGTTAACATCCTTGATCTAAAAATACTAATCAAACTTGATATGTTTCGTTAACAATGTAGACATAGAATTACCCTGATTTGCTGACATAAGCTACAAATAAAGAGAGAAGCACACCACAAAGGGAACAAGGGAAACCACCACTGGTTTCCGCTATCCAAAGCGAACATCAGCAAATACTAACACGTGAACTGTAGTTTCTATGAGAAACAGGGGCAAATAAATGTTTACAGTATGACATTTGTATTAAGCAAAGGTAGCCAAAATATCATTCATCTAGATTGAAATATGAACAACATACAATTTCACACTCTTCAAATACCAGCAGCTATTTCAGTCTAATTTATGATTCAGTCACTTCATGGAACAAAAGCCAAGCCCCAACACTTTAAACAAACATTGCATTTTTCCCGCAGGAATATCAAACATGTAAATAACCAACAGTTGGAGCAGAAAGGCAGTGACCTTCCCCTATGGTTTACAAGGGGAAGAACTAGTTCTGAATGACATGCACGGTTTATGCCAGAAGTGTCATTTAGGGAAGAGAGGAATCCAAGTGCCTAAATAACTTAATTATAGTTTGAGTGGCTATTTTCTGAAAAGCAGTAAAAAACCCACCACAACTACACTCTAAATGATCAACTAGTATCTTAAAAACACCACACACACACACTACAGGCCTTTCCCTGTCATTTCACACACACTAACACTGCCTATCTTTCTCAAGAAAAAAAAAAGATTTTTAAAATATGTTTTCTGAATCTTGACTATTTCAGCCACTAAAGGAATTCGCTAAGAAGGTCTGTCAGCCAAAGAGCTATGCAGACTGCAGATAACTAAGAGAACTCTGCAGTCACAACAAAGCAGTGAAGGCTCCTCCCTATACCCACTCACATATTAAAATAGAAAACAGTCAGCTTTCTGCAAGAGTAGTTAGAGAACTCTTTAAGGTCTTTCTACAACTAGAAGAGTGTTTAAAACTTACATACCTGAACTAAAGCAGTCATGTAAAGTCTGCATTTCAATAATGACACTTCTTACTTGTAGGATGCAGAATGTCCTATAGATTCCTCTTCTAGGTTTGGAAGAGGAGCACCTGAGTTTATACTGACAACAAGCTGCCTACAACAACAACAATTGCTCTTTGACTAGCAGATGGAAAGAGAAGACATGTAAAACAAATCAACAGCTTCATTCTTGGGGGAAAAAAGCTCTGAGCAAGCCAGGAGGGGGGAAAAAAAAAAAACCAACCAAGTTTCACCTATTGGTATGATCTTCTATCAGGATTCAAGATTACAGATATCCAGGTAGCTCCTGTTCCCAGAAGGGCGAGATACTAGAAGCAAACAGCACTCCGCAGTAGTTGCATAGTCTGCAGAAAAAGATCCCGATACATAGGTACCTCATGACAAAACCTGAGCTACGTGATTACACGGGCATCACAGCAAGAAATTGAACTGTCAGTTCTGGTGCTCCTGGTATGCACTACACAGCTACTCCTCTGTATGAGGGAGTGCATGATGGCATTTCTGAATATAGCCTAGAAAGTCAAGGTTAAAAGCTTCTTTAGGATGCAGAAAAGTACTGCACAGAACGCCAATTGTTTAGAAATTCTACTAGCCAAAACTGCTTTTCTTTGAGGCACGTGTTCCAAGAGTTAGTCAACACTTTTTTTTTTATTAGCAAGGAATTTCTCTACTCCATTGTCTTTTTTCTATACAGATGATGTCTTGCCCATGCCATATATTTTCCACTTCTAAATGTGACTGCTGCTATGTTTATATAGAGACACCTTCAGAGAACCTCACTTAAAAATAAAAGGTCTAAAAAGCATGTTTTGCTGGGGTAGGAGGAGTTGCGTGTAAATGAAGTAATACTTTGCTCATGCATTAGCTAACACATCAACTAGTCCAGCAAAACCACTTAGCAGAGCTTTCTTTTCTAGCAAAATCTAGGCAGCTTCAGAATTA